TAAGTTGGGTTTCACTTTCTGTGCAGAATCCCTTGAAGAATTCTTTTGTAGTGGTGGTTTGTGGTCACATATTGTTTAGTTTCTGCTTATCATGGAAAGACTTTTATTGCTCCATCTATTTTGAATGATAGTTTTTGCTGGGTAGAGTATCTGGGTTGAAGTTATTTTCATTCAGGTGCCTGAAGATCTCACCCCACATCTTCTTGCTTTTAATGTTTCTGTTGAGAAGTCTGCTGTGATTTTGATGGGTTTACCTTTGTATGTATTTGTTTTTTCCTCTCTACAGCTTCAATATTCTTTCCTAGTTTCTGAACTTGTTGTTTTAATGATGATATGTCGTGATAGTTCTATTTTTGATCTGTCTGTTTGGTGTTCCTGGAGGCCTCTTGCATCTGTTGGGAATCATCTTCTCTAGATTTGGGAAATTTTCTGTTATTATTTTTTAAATATATTACGCATTCCCTTCGCTTGCACATCTTCTCTTTCTTCGATGCCCATGATTCTCAAGTTTGTCTTTTGATGGAGTCGTGAGTTCTTGCTTTTTCTTTTCACAGGTCCTTGAGTTGTTTAATTAATAGTTCTTCGGTTTTTCCTTAATTACCCTATTCATCTTCGAGTTCGAGGTTCTGTTTCTGTTTGTTCTATTCGTTGTGGATTAGCCTTTCGTTTGTTTGCAGTTCTGTTCATATTCTTTTTCTGAGGTTTTCCATACCTGGGTGTTTCCTCTTAATGTTGTGTATTTTTCCTGAGTTCATTTATCTCTATAATCGTGTTCTCTGTTTCACTTTGGTTTATACAGTGCTTCTATGGTGTCCTCTTATTTCTTCTTTTGCTTTTTCAAATTCTTTATTTTTGTTGTCTTGGAATTTCTTGAGTGTCCCTGTATCATTTGGTTGCCCCATCCAGTATCATCTCTATAATATTCTCATTCAGTACCTATAGTAAGTCTTCTTTTAAATTATTCTTGTGTGCTTCATTGCGTTCTTTGGCATAGTTTATCTTCATTTTGTTGGAGTCTGGATCTGAGTATCTGTGTTCTTCATTTGCCTCTTGTTTCTGTACTAGTTTTTTGCTGCGGGGAAACTGGTGTCCCTATTTTTTCTGTCTTCCTGTCATTGCCCTTAGTATTGTTATTGTCCCTGTACTGTGTGCAATTAAGTATTTTCTGGCTGTAATAATAGCACTAGTGATATTTAGAATGGAAGGGTGAGAGTGGATGGAAGCAAAGAATTTAAAGGAAAAGGGAAAAACAATCAAGTAGAAAAAAACAAAACAAAACAAAGAAAAACAAAAAAAGTTTGAAAGATATAAACAGGGAGAGACAGTGTACTAATCAACCATAAGCTGAAAAGGCATTAGAGAGACAGAGGATTGAAAATTAAAAATAAAAGGAATAAAGATAACAATAAATATGAAAAATAAGTAAATGAAAGGAAAAAAAATATATGTAAATAAAATTAAAAAAAAATACCCTCCAAGTTCAAATGCAATGAAGTTTCAATCTTAGTAATTTTGGTGTTTGTCCCTCAGCCTCCAATCCTGGAGATGGTGCCTCAGATGTTATTCTGTAGTTGTCTCATCAAAGAGGAAACATAAAGTAGAACAAAACTGCTCAAAAAAAAAAAAAAAACCCCACAAAATGTCCCAAGCTCAAATGCAATACCGTTTCAGTAAGTTTTTCAGCATGCAGGTATAGTTCGGTTGTTTTCTCATCAAAGGTAGGGAGAGAGAAAAAAGAGTCTGGAGACAGATCTGTGAATGGTATCTGCGGCTGTGCCTTGCCTGCCTGCTGTTGTCAGCCTGCTGTTGCTGGAGGCTTTATTTATGCAGATCCCTGGGGTGGGCTTAGCACTCACCTGGCCCCCGCAGGCTTTGTTTCCTCAGAGTTCTCCTGTACGGGAGCCTCTGCTACAGGCTTTCCCCTTTCCAAGCACACTGAGGGAGGTGACACTGCACCTGCTTTCTCAGGCCTGCGTGTTTATTTACAGCTTACATGGGAAGTGGGTCTTCCGCCCTCTCCTGTGGAGTTTTCCTCCCACCACTGCTTTTACAAGCTTTCCTGCTCCTGATTGCTGGGCGGTGCTGCTGCTCCTGTCATCCAGTGTGCTTGTTTACAGCTCACATGGGAGGTGGGGTCTTCCCCCCTCTCCTGTGGAGTTTTCCTCCTTCTGCCACTCTCACAAGCTTTCCTGCTCCTGGTTGCTGGGTGTGCGCCACAGCTCCTGCCCTCTCCGGTGTGCCCGGCTTGTTTATTTACAGTTCTGGGAAGGATTCCCCTCCCCCCACTGTTGGTGCTCAGGGCGCCTCACCCTCTTTGCTATGTGTCTTTATTGTTATTATTGCTTATTACTCAGTTTCTCTTTTTTCCCTTGGTGGGGGTCGGTCTGTCCAGGGGTCTATGCTGATCTGGCCCAGGGTTGTCTGTGGAAGTACCACGTACCGCTTAGCTCACCTTGTCTGCGTCTTCCCCAGCCGTCTGGGCACGGACATCTGGCAGCCCGGGGGCCCTCCTGGTTTCTCCGTTTAACGTGAAGTGGAGATTCTCTGCGCTGGCTGGAGGTGTGGAGGGGGCAGAGTTTTGCCTCTTCTCTGTGGCCTTGCCTGCAAGGTGTGTCTCCAGCATCTCTCCAAGATTTCACTTTAGGAGACAGGCTTTCTGCTTCCTCCCTCTTGCTACCATCTTGGATGAATTCCTTCATTTACCTTCTTATGATAGATAAGCTAAAATTAGGCAAATTTATTTAGAAATACTTTTTTACAATTTGTTTTCTTTTTGATATAATTTTTTCTCATGAAGCATTCAATTGGACAAATACCTCATATCTGCTAGACAATGAACTATTATTATGGTCTCTTAATAAATTATTTCCTCATATCTTTTTCTTACAGAACAGACAGTGGGAGAAGTTATTAAATTAGATCCTAGTGGATCTCCAAGAAAAGTCTGGGGGAAAAGCCCTACAGATTCAGTACTAAAGATACTTGGAGAAGCTGAACTACAACTTCAGACAGAACTATTGGAAAACACAAGTATTAGAAGTGGTAAGTGGAAACTAGTTATTTTCTAACTATAGAAAGTCATATTAAAAGAAGTCATACTAGTAACTGAATAATGTGATTTAAGAGGTTTCCATTTTAAGTGAATTATTTGAAGTCTTTTTGTTATAATTTTTGTTTATAATTTTCTATAAGATAGGGAATGATTTTATTTTCTGGGAAGTTGTCCTAAATAGCAGTGTTGAGTTTTGACCTGATAGGATCTAGCCGGGACCTAAAAATAAAAATAATAGGAATAGGAAATATGCATTAGGGAGCTGGAAAAGTCAGAATAATGTTTTCCATGAAGAACAATATAGAAACAGTGTGCTAAGATTAATGGTATACCTTTTTTTCTTTTTGTGGTACTAGGTCTTAGCCCCAGGATTATATTATCACACATGCTTGGCATGTACATATAAGTACATATAAGCATATGTTAAGCATATCCCCGGTCCTTTTGTTTGCATTGTTTCTGAGACAGGGTCTCATAACTTTGGCCAGTTTGGCCTAGAAATTGTGATCTGCCTGTCTCTACCTCCCGATTAGCTGGCATTGCAGACATGTAGCACCACACCCAGCTGATGTCGTGTCTTTTGAAGTAGATTCAGAAATTAAATTGTCTAAATGAAATCTCCAGCAAGTTTAAGAGATATTGTTCTAGGGCAGGGGAGGGAGCATTGGCATGAGGC